AACCAACAACCTTCCGATTAGGTGACGACATCATACAGTGATGTTGATGTGATAATGATTATTTTCCGTAGAAGCGTTAATAATGGGTGCTTGACATTTAAATAAGTCCTGAGGGTCGCAGTTTGAGTGATGTGGTTTTCTTATGACATACTGTTATTGTCTCTTACAGTTACCTTTACAAAGCAAGTAAAAGCACGTGAAATATGCTTTAGCTTAACATAGCCCCTACAGCATAGTCGTTTAAGAAGTTTATGTGAAGATAATCCCTTCTGCGGTTTGGGATTTGAATCACAATACCCATGCAGAAATCAAGTGGCTTGCATAATAATGTCATGTACAGACGAAAACCTCCTGGCATGGAGTTTATTATGATTGTTAGATATTGGATGAAAGCTATTGTATGTTTTTATAACAAGTGTTTTTGTTGCCTGTCAAACACTTTTTGTAAAAGGCTCCTTCTAGAGAAAGGGTGAGGTATCACATGAGAAACGATCAAAGAGAGCCTAAGCGTCCCCCCTTGGAGAACAGGGGCAGAGGAATGTAAAGTCGCAGAGGTCAGGTACACAGTGAGGGAGCTATTAAGACACGTGTTCACTGTTTAACCCATAATCTGAGGCTGACTTGTTTTATTTTCATTCTCTTGTGGGCAGTGTCCACCTCTGAAGCCTCCACCTCTGCTCCTGACTAACAAGTCACTACCTGCTCTCCTCTGTAGCCCTCAGTTAACGCGATTCCCCCAGCCTAACACTCCTGTGGATGTCGTGAGATGGATGCAATTTCTTGGATCTCTGTGGGAGCAACATGACATCTAAAAACAGGCTAGGTGGCATTCCCTGTTGGTAGTCACAGCAGATATCATCTGAGAGCAACGCCCTGACAGGTGTTTTTCCAGGATTTTAACTAACATAATCGCCGCCAGCATCGCCCAACAGAAGGCCAACTTGCTAAGAGGGTGTGGCAGTATGTTGACAGTAAGTGTCCCAACAATCCTGTCTGGCAGTGTTTGGTTAGTCAGCATACTCTGTGTGTGTGTGTGTGTGTTTCATTATTCAAATTTACTCTTACTCTCTTTGCATACATTTTCTGCCACTTTCTCTTGATCTCTCGCTCTTTCTCTCTTTATCAATCCATCTCTGTCTCTCTTTTTCTGACCATACAGATGGATGAAAACCACAGCCCTGACAAACTGTCAGCAAAACCACATGAGAGTCAGCTGGCTGCTCCTCCTCTGCCGTTTTTCTGCGGAAAGAATGAAAGTCTAGACAGAGACAATATTTGTACAACGGTTATAGCAGATAGAAGTGCAGGCTCAATTGTCTATATTAATAATCCCCACATCGTGCCGCTTAGCAAAGCATGTTTGTTTACCCAACAGAAAAATCATCTGATATGCAAATCCTCAGATACAGTACTTGCAAATATACAAAAGTGGCTCCTTGAGGACAAATTAGACAGAAAAAACACATTGGAAAAGAGGAAAAACAGGATCAATCACTATCTTTTTTATTTCATACATTTTAGTTGTATTCACAAACAAACTGAGAAGAGTAGTAATAAAACACATTTCACTGACTTAACAACAAATTTCTGCCACACCAGCATTTAAAACGCTGACATTTTGTGGCAGTAAATCCACATAAATCTTTTATAACTAGTTGAGCTTTGGTGAGCTTCAAATTTACACTGCTGACCAATGAGCAACAGTCTTGCCAGTGACCTTTGAGGTAAGAGAGAACCAAATGGTCCAAAATGGAGGATGATTATTAGCTGTGTTGTACCATACACTATTATTTTACCTCCTCTGCTGGATAATCAACTACTCTGCAGAAAGGAATTGGTCGCAGACAGTTTATCAGACAGGAATCAATGGAAAAAATACGAATCTTTATTAAACAGTTTAAATATATTGACCTAGCTAGCTTGCTTGCTGACAAGCATTAGCATGGTCTCAGCTGGCTAGCATATTAGCAGATATCGGTAATTGAAAACTAGACCTGCCCCCACAAAGATAGACTTTGCTGTGCCACTTTTTACTTCTTTTTTTTAATTAGCATTTTGCCTGTTAGCAAGTCACATAGTCTCATGTTAGCGGTATCAGAAATCATCAACGTATTCTTTGCTTTTTTTTGTGATAGTGAGCCGACTTGTTTGCTTTAATTTGGATCACAGCTTATTAAAACGTTCATGTAAATGTTCAATGGAATCTACCACACCCCTAGCTTAAACAAACACACATGTTATCATAACATCTTAAATATTTTCAGTACAGTATTGATGTCTGTGACAGTGCCATACTATCTGCCTGCAGAAGATATGAAAATACAGCACAAAAGCCACAAAAGGTCTCTGCTGAAACACAGGGCTGTAGTTGTGGCATATTTGCAAATATTGTACCCAAATCACAATATAATATTTAGAAGATGAAACCTTTGGCCCAGACAGACACTCATTCTCAGTCATTCTCTAAAAGCAGCCAAGACTGTTATTGAGCAAGACTTGACTCTGCACAAAGTGTGTATTACTTGACTTCAGAGCAGTGAGTAGGGACACAGATTTCTTCTTAATTACAGTACATGTACAGCATAGGTAACCTCTTATTAAAGGTCGCTCAAATACACACATACACTCACACACAGGTCCTGTCACTGTGTCTCCCTGAACATTCCCTCCACACCTTGTGTTGCTGCCTGTTTGAAAGCGGCTCAGTAATCCTGGATCAGAGAGTACAAAGGGCCCCAGAGTGCTGGTGATGTAAGCACTGTGTCCACTGTGTCCAGTGCTTACCCCACTGCTACCCCCCAGCTCCCACATGCTGCCTGGGGGGGGCGAGGTGGGACAGAGGAACATCCCTGTCGTGGCTGACCCTGAAGACTGCAGACTGACACACAAACTGTGATAGTGGTAGGCTAATGGCAGCCGGTCTGCTCTGTCTCAGGGGCCTGCTGCTGATGACCTGGGACACAGTGGGAAGGAGAAAGTGTTGACCAGCCCGCTGTAGAGGAATGCGGCTAGGCTGTGGGGATTGGTGGAGCGGCTCGGTGTGACTAGCGGACAGACTGAGGGACTGCTGCCTCTACTTCTCTTCCCTTGCCTTATTCGTGGAAGGTCACATTGCCACAGGTGAGTATCGCTGGGTAAACATTTACCTAGTTAACGCCTCTGACAGCGTGTGATCTCACATGGGTGGCAGACTGTTTACTAACTTTATATATCCGTGTATGTCTTCTGCAAGAAGCATAGTAACTGTGGCGTACTCTCTGAAGGTTTTGGCCCTCATAGGCACTACCGGCTGTGTCATTTGACTGTATGGAAATATTAGTGGTTTATTGTGTGTGCGATAACATTTGGGTGTGCACTCTCTCAGTTCTCCATGGACTTGCAAGACTCCAAGCACACCATGTGGGGTCTGAACGCCAGACTGAAGGGCTTCCTGGAGCAGGTGAACCGGCTGCAGGAGGCCAACCGGCAGCTGGAGGCTCAGATAGCCGACTGGGGCGTCAGGAGCACCTCACGCTCCCGGGACTGGTCCCAACAAGAACAGACTGTCAATGAGCTCCGTGCACAGGTCAGACTCATCATTTGGACTATGAAATAAAAAATGTCTGTAATTGGACAGCTGTTTGGCAGAAAGATATGATAGTATTGCAGGTGTGCTACAGGCGTATTTCCACTCAGGCTTTATGATTATGCTCCATTACAACGGCTCAAGGCCATATTGGCTGGCAGACAACAGGAGCAGCTGTGTATAATCAAACAGCACTGACTGCAGTGAAAACAGAGACACAGTCGATTACTAGTGTAGATGCCAACAGTGTGCAGCATCATGTGAACAGTCTCATGTTCCCTTTAAGAGCAGATAAAGAGCTTTAATGGCAGGGGTGCAACTCCCGTTTGAAACAGTCCCAGTGCTGGCTGTGTTACAAGTGACTGCATTTATTAAAACCATCATGTAACAACTTTGTTACACTGAACCTGATACAAAGACTGAGAGTCTGTGGTTGCTAAATATGGGCTATAAAAACTGTTAAAGGTACAGTGTGTAACATTTAGGAAATGCAATATAATATTCATAGGAATGTTTTTATTAGTGTACAATCACCTGAAAATAAGAATTGTTTGTTTTCATTATCTTAGAATGAGCTGTTTTTATTAACAGACCTTCTGTGGAGGCTGCCATGTTGAACCGCCATGTTTCTACGGTAGCTCAGAAGGGACAAACCAAACACTGGCTGTAGATAGTGGAATTCACTGTATTTGCAGCCACCATAGTTTCTCCTTCATGCTTGGAAGGGGAGGGTGAAGAGAGGGAGTTTCAATCTGCCATTTCACCACTAGATGCCACTAAATCCTACACACAGGACCTGTAATTGGGAGAATCAGCAGACAAACTTCTTGATACATAAAACTCTTTTCAAAACCAACTGGATACTGATCAGCTAAAAGAATGTATTTGTTAGTTCTGTAAAAGTTTAACCACGCGACAATCAGTCCCGCCAGGCTGCATGGCCCTGATCTGTGCATTTGTGGCCCAATAAGTGGTACCACATCCTTTGAGGAGTACTGGCTGCTACGGGGTGGGCGCTAGGCGTGACGCTAAATTTTGCTTTTCTCCCAACTGGCTTCAGTAAATAGTTTGACTACATTATATGGTTCGTTGATCTAATTGGTTGAAGTTCGCCTGTGATAGACAGTGACAGACAATGGTAGATCCAATCACCTCTGAAATGCCTGCCCTTTTCCAAACAGTTTCCAATGATGACTTCCCAGGTGGTTCTGTGTAACAAACCATCTGGCGCAGTTAGGTTAGTAAAAGTTGTTTCATAGCAGTTCAGTGACTCCACATCAAACGAGCTTGTTGCAGAAGCAGGTATGTGTGCCGTTGCTGCTGGATCAAGCTGTCACAAACAGCAAGAATGAGGAACTCTTTATTACTTTAAAGGCCATTCCGCTTAGTAGACCATTAACGGCACGGTGATCTCACATGACACGACTTGATGGTTTTCAACTGCTCTTTGGTTTTAGTGTCACTTTCTGCATGAGTTGGTGTCACTGACAGACACTTTAATCACTCTCTTGTTTCTCGTCGCATACCTCGTCATCCAGTTTGGCTGATGTTCCCATGGCTATGGCAGGCACCAGCGCAAACTCTGCTGACTTCATTGTTCACTGATCCACAGAATGCTTTCATTTTAACATATAGGATTACTTTGCTATTTATCGTCTTACAAGGTGCTTTATTGTCCTTTTATGTACAGCATAGAGTTAATGATGGGCAATCAACTGGTAAGACTTTTAGCGTAAGATCTTGTCAGTGTACTGTCACTCATCTCACTGGGGCTCTGATACTAAAACTAGATACTAGTGTATTTTAATGCTTATGGTCTAAATGTTATGGAATATTCCATGTTATCTTTGGCTTTCCTTCAACATGGGTGTGTCTTACTATTGCACTATTAAGAAAGGGCGTGTTAACATTTTTATGTGTGTGATAAAAGTCAAGGAGACCTTTTTCTACTTGGAATTAACTTTCATCCAGATAACTAAAAAATAAAATGAAACTGGAAATGTAAATCTTTTTACACACATTTTAGCCATTACTAATGCTAAACAAATAAACATAGTAGTTTGTTGGCTGCTGAGGTAAGATGTTGGTTTCATTCCAAGTATGTATTCACTGTGTACTTTGGCAGAGATTGAGCCCCGAGGGGAGGTGAGGTGTGGAGAGAAAGACACTGTACATGACGCTGATTTGTTTTGAACATAGGCATGGCCGTTTCAGTTTCCCCAACAATTCAAAAATCATTTTGATTGTCACAGCCAATTTGTTGTGCTATAAACAACTATTACTCAAATAGATGTTTTCAACCTGATTAATTTACCAGACTGCACAGGGACAGCATAGTTTAGTTTATATATTATATATAATATAATAAATTCAGGTCCTCACAATGCATGGATGCTTTATTTTAGTACAAAAGTTGGGGTTTGTGCAAGACTTCATCATAGCTGTTTTGTGAGTAGATGAATTTAGCTGAATACAGCCATCCCTGGTTTCCCCTGTCTGTCAACAAACACAGTTGTTGGAGACCAAAAATAATAAGTAAGGCAGAACAACTGTATGTTAGTGTTAGCTAGCTTGTGATAACATGAGATCTAAATGCAAAAAAGATTTACTTACATCATCAAAGTATGATCATTACAATCAGTAGAGGTAATACATTTGAAATATTTTTAAGTTCAGTTCCCACCTTTTAGAAGATGACAATAACTGTGAGAAGCTCTGGTTTATCTGGCAGAGGGATTTGAATTTGAACATTCAGTGTAGGCTGGTTTACACCAGGGAAGAAGTACACACTATAAAGTACTTGAAATGGCTTTACTAGAAAATCATTTGTGCTGGAAATGTGAAAGGCACAAAGTCAGCTTTATCCGTGCAATGTGGGCCTGCCCTCTGGTTCTACCTTTCTAGGAAGAGATACAATACAGGAGTGGCTAGATATATCTGTGCCTGAATCAATTCAACTTTGCCTCTTGGGGGACAGGACCCAACATTTCCAACCCTAACAGGCTTTATTTCACCCAAATGCCTCAGGCTAGGCCAACTTTACCAACTTACATTTTCATATAAAAAAGTCACTCTGCCAGTTGTAGAATTGCACATTGTTTTTCACATTCCCTGATCTAATCTCACGTCATTGTATTTTGTTTCTGTCAGGTTGGTAAACTACTGATGGAGAATGCCCAGCTGGCATTGCAGTCTGACAACATGAAGTCCAGAGCTGCTGCCATCCAGGCCAGGTCAGCTGTTGTTTGCCTCCTCTCCCTTGATCAATACAGTCTAGGGCTTATTGATTAGTATAATAGGCGTGAGATTGCACCCTGTAAACATATTTCACTTATTCATACAGTTTAGGTCCAAAGTGATCCGGTTCAGTGGAGAAAAAATGCATCTTGTATTTTAATTGGTAACATAGTAACACAAGCTAATGGAAAATGTGCAGGAATTATTACTGGCCCATAAGGCATCACAATATACTAAACATAGGTGTGGAATAACTGCCAAAGACTTCCTGTTTTCATCCTGCTGCAATGCTTTTCCAGTCCTCTGTTATCTAACTCAGGCCAGTTCCCGCTCCTGCGAGCCAACCTGCATACAAATCCAGGCCAGGCTTTGTGCCGCGTCGGCACTTTCGCTTATGTATTGATGCAGAGTGACACAGAGCCCCCACCCCCCTACCTCCCCACCACCTCTCCACTGTCAGCCATTAACCCCTGAAGGACAGTGTGGCGACACGCTGCAGCTTGAAATAAATACACCTGTTCTATTTATAGCACCATCTCCTGACTAGCTGAGAGTGTCTCTGTTTATGACACACTTAATGATGACGAGCTCTTTTTTTCTACGATTTCAGCAACAACTTGCTTCATGGTCATGCACCAGAAGTAGATCAATCAGCTAAAACCACAGTCTTCTTAGTCAATGCTCACTGTAGCAATTGTTGGAATCCCTTTTAAAGGAAGTTAAACTGGGTATCACTGAGGACTGTGTCAAAACTTTACATTTGAACTTGAGCTGTTGCACTCTATTTGAATATATGTATATTCTCTGGCCGCCTTCTGTTTATATGAGGTTTTTAAGTAACAGATGCACGACGTGGCTAACATTAAACACTGTATGAGGCTCAATAAATAACTTTTGCTGTTGCCATGACATCATAGGTGTGAGACGGAGGAGAGGAACACCAGCCGTCTGGAGCAACAGGTGGCTCTGCTCAGGCAGTCAAAGAGGAATGCAGATCAGAGCAGCATGACGCTGCAGGCGGACCTACGGCACTCCATGACAGAGCTGCAGGAGATGCACCAGGAGTTTGAGGTCAATGCTCTCCAAATGCCTGTCATGACAACTCTTTCTTTTTTCTTTCTCATCTTTGTGTCCTTCCAATTTATCAGTTTGCCTGTTTCACTGTGCCTTCCTCTTTCTATCCACCTGTTTATCTCTATTTTTTGATTGATTGTGCTTTTCCTTCTGTAAGCACAGTCTCACACTAAACCCCTTCATTCATCCATGCAATAAAAACTAAATTTAACTTTACAGTGCCAGCCTGACAGCAGAGCACGAATAAGATTCAGATGATAGCCTGAGTATCCTTGGGTGCAGTGTTGTCAGTTATGGAGGGCAAAATGGTCTCAAGTGAGGGGCCAAAAAAATGAATTAACCCTTTAATTGTTTCAAAAAGATGATGATGTTTAGTCACCAAATAACTTAATCAGTTGCTTGCTAGCTAGTTACATTGGCAAGGTAATGTTAACAAAACCCTAGCTAACTAGCTAGCTAATCTATATAAATCCTTAGCTAGCTGGTTTGGTAATGTCTTGCTAAAATTAGGTGTGATTAGCTCATTTAAGATGTGATTATGTTGCTTTTAACCTTTTAACCTTTTTTATTGTTGAAAATAAGATGTTGTGTGATTTCTGACGACTGACGAACATAACCATTGCTGATAACAGCATGACCAGAAAATATATGAGATCGGTGAGGATCCATTTGTCACCTCAACATTTTGCCGGCTTGGTGCTAAATATGACCACAGAGAATGAGGGAAAGGACATCTGAGATGCTGCAGGATCCTGATCCTATTACTGTGTAATATACTGTATATAAATATGTAATTATCTGTCATGTTATTATGTTTTTAGACACTTGTACTTTAACTTCAAGCCCTGACATCATAGCCCTTTCGTGTGTGTGTGTGTGTGTATTTGATTTGTGAGTTACGAAGAGAATCGTTAGATTCCTCATCTCTTCACTCTGACCTCATCCACCCCTCCCCTCCCCTACCTTTCCTACCTCCTTTTCTTCATTTTCTCATTCCTGCTGACTAATAACTGCCCTCCCTCACTTCCAGTATGTTTCTCTGCATACAGATACACACACACACGCAAACATACACATACATATGCTCATATGTAGTACTCTAACTAACTGATTCTTTTCCTTGCCTCTGCATTGCGTGGACTATCTCACCCCCCCCAAACACACCCCCACACACACACATTGCTCTTACACTTTTTTTCTCCTTTGCATTAAGTCACTTATTCAGTCGCAAATCAGTTCTTTCCACCTCTGTGTCTTTGTTTTTCTCTTGCAATTCTCACTCTTTACATCATTCACTCTCTTTCTCTGTCTTTCTCTCTACCTCTCTCTGTCTCTCTCCCCCCTCCCTCCCCCTTTTGCTCCCTCCGGTTGGCTGTTTGCAGGCAGCCCGGGCTCTACAGCTGCAGCGAGTCGGCTCCTGCGATGCTCTTTTAGTGACGGCCACAACAGCAGCAGCAGCAGCAGGAGGGGAGGAGGAGGATGGCACAGGGATGGAGCTCACCCAGCTCCTCGACCGAATCAGAGCGCAGTGCGATCAGAGCAGACTTCCTGGCCCGGGCGGGAGACACCTTGGCCTGGGCGCCGTGTCAAATCCACTCCCCAGCTCGGTCGGGCCTAGCCACTCTGGAGCAGCAGCAGCATCCAGAACACACGGAGGAGCTCTCAGTGAGGTACGCATCCACTCCTGCATCTTCACCTATCTTTTTTTTCTCTACGCCTCTGTCATGTTGTCCTGGCCCACTGCCAGCCAGACACACCCTCAAGACCAAATCCAGGCCGGCCCATAGGCAAAGCAGACTGATATATATCCTCGGCTGAAGTTGAATTATTAGCAGTGTTTGTTGAATGTGGTGAAGGGCTGTAGGTTTAGGACCCACCATGCTTCTTCTCCCTCCTGTTTTGTGTATGTGTGTGTCTGTGTTTGCCCTCTTGCTTGATTTGTGCATGTTTTTGCATCATTGTCTCCTCACTTACTTCACCTTTTTACAGTTACACACCATTGCAGTGGGGTGCTACAGCATACGATCAGTTACTACACTGAGTGAATGATCTCTGTTCTTCATTAAATATTTATGAGCCAAATTACAACCTGAGCACTCTCAGCTACCTTGCAGATTTTTAGCCTTTATGTAATGGCAGTATTTTCTATTTGAAAGTAGGAGGTTTTCTACTGTTATTTTAGCCTCTCTTAACTGTCCTCTTTTATGTTATGATAGGAGAAAGCACTGTCTGGGTCTGGCTTTTATTATCCCAGTGTTCCTGTGGCACAGCACAATGACTTTGGTCTGACAGTGACAATAAAGTGCCTTCGCCAAAGGCTGCAAGCTACCACAGTGCTGAAATGGAGCAGGTTTTATGAAATGCTGTTGTTTACATCAGACCTTCTCTGTCTGTCCCACTAAAGTGAGGGTTACACAATGCTGCAGTCAAAAGCCTCCATGATGATGAAAAAAAGGTGCTATACTGGGTATATTGGCATACAGTAAGATGGATTGTATGTTATGATATACAGGGACACATGTGCTTCCCAGTTTCATTGTTTACATTATGAGCTGCAAACCACAATGAGGAGACACAACTCTGATACAGGCACCAAAACTACATGACATCTATCATCATTTTGAGTGAGCCTTTTAAGATTAAAGCTACCCTCTGGGCAAACATAGGGTCTGCAAAATTACTCAAAATATTATCAAAATTGTAATATGGCCAAATATGCAACTCGCAGAAGCTGCAGTCTTTTGATAAAAGTAAAGTCTTTGGCAAAACAGCATTATAATGAAGTACTGTAGTTCTGAAGAGATGCCCTGGCCTACAAATCTTTTTGTTATTGTGGCCAGATTTAAGAAAAATCTATTTGTTGGTTTCACATATCATGATTTTAATTGTTGTTTCAGTAAAAAATTATATTAGTGATACAAAAATGATAATTCACACACTAATCATGAATCATATCGCAATTGCACTCTTCCTTGCCTTTGTTGGCACATGGCTGTGTTTCTTAACATGTTTCTGGTGTTAAACCTGTGGCAAAACTGTGTGCTGCTTTGTGCATGTGCATCAAAACAGTACATATTAATTCAGTAATAATATAATATATCATAATATAATATATAATAATATAACACTGTGACAGAAGCCATTCTGCATAATATTTAAACTTTTGATACTTAAGTATATTTTTACATTTTAAAATACTTATGTACTTTTACAAATATATTTGTATTTATTTCTGCCCTGAGATATTGCTACTTTTAGTCGGTAAGTTTCAGAAAGTCAGAACCTCTTTCATTGCTGCTTAAGGTGACAGATAGAATAGTAATTCTTTAGACTTCATGTAAGATAAGGAATCTTGTTGGGCAGTGTTAAGAGCTGATGTAGGATTTCTCTGCCTAAATTAGCTTATTGCATAATTTTCCTGTTCATTAAAACAGACTTTCTGCATTGAAACAGACAACCAGAATCGCTGAAGTAATAAATTAAACAGAGAATAACCTGCATAACTTGAGTCTTCTTCTTTTGTTTTTACTGTCAAAATATTGTCATAACTGTGCTGAGACAGCTTCACCGCTTCACTGCATTTGAAGGGGGTTGAGGAGGGAGGGTGTGAAGAGCCTAACAGCTGTACAGTGTGTCAACACAGCTTGTACAGGCCTGGGTGCCCTGCTCCACTTTCTGTTTACTTATACTGAAACACACACTACCAACATCATCACCTGTGGCTGCTTCTCCTCTCACTGTCTGACTGAGTGCCAATGGGAAACAACTGGTGTGTGTCAGTGTGTAAGGTGGTTGCTTCTCATCTGGCCGGTTCTGTCTGTTCTTAATTTCAACAATCCACATCATGCCAACTACTACAAGCTAACACAAGTATAAATGTGTGCGTGGTTGGGTCTGTGTCTTTGGATAAGATGGTGGCATTGGTGGTGGTTCTCTCTGTTAATGACCGATCCCTGTCAACTCATCCAGGAGGAGGCAGCATGGGCACAGGTGAGCCTCGGCAGCGCTGTGCTGAGAGAGGCCCGGGCCGAGCTGGCTGAGGCCAGGAAGCAGTGGCACTCCCTGCAGGTGGAGATTGAGACCCTACATGCCTTGGTAAGGAAACACACACATCACATAACTGATAACACATGTTCCATGAGGAGTGGCAGACTGCACACTTTTTAGAAGTGATAAGCTAATGATAATGACAAGTTAAGAAAATATGTATATATTAGTAGCATAGGATATAACATAACCTACAATGTAGAGCTATACAGATGGGATATTTACATGTTTCAGCCCCCTTTCCATTAGATTTTACCTTCCAGTCAACCTTTAATTCCTACTGCTTTCTTAATTCAACTACTGCTGCAAAAAATATTTTCAGAGACTTGAAAACCCCCAGTGTGTTCTATTAAAACAGATTATGATGTAGTACCTGCATATGATGTGATTTAGAATATGATAACATGACTTAGAATTGAGTCTACCATCATGCTAGCAGCTCCAGAATACTAATGTTAATCAACTATAATGTTTGCCATTTTAGTGCATAAGCATGCAAACCATTTATCACTAAACACGGAATACAGTAAACCATAGTATTACAAATACAAATTTAGACCTGATGATGGCACTAGATGAAAGGTCAGAGCACTGGGAACTATAAGTGTCACTCTGTACAACATGTTGTCCAACATGTAGTCCATTCAATAGTTGTTGAACTACATAATGGAACAACGTTTTGCATGCATTGTAAAAGGTTATTAAATTCTGTTGTGGTAATTAGATTTTGATTTTGGTGGCAGTTGACATATGTTATGATGTTTATATGTATTAATAAAAAAGTGCATATTAAGTGTGGGAGACATACATACATGGATACATTTTTGAGTATTTCTCACACACAAACATGGGTTTTTACATCTAAAACCATGGCAGTGTCCTTGTGGATCAACACTACAGAGACCTGTGTTCAGGTCCTGGCAGCAGGGCCTAGGGCTGAGACCAAGCAAGCCACTGGCAGTATTGGTGGTGGGAAGCTAGTGAGGGATTACGTCCATGCACAGTTATAATATTAGTTTCTATGTGGTTCTTTAAATTCAATGTGAAATTATTTAAAAAGTTGATCTGTTAAAAAGTTGAAGTCAACTGGGTAGTCTTTCTCCTAACAGCTTCTTGCCTTGTTGCATTTCAGGAGAAAGGCCTGGAGAGCTCCCTGCAGAACACCCAGCAGCTGTACTCCAGCCAGCTGCAGGACCTTTCCCAGGTGATCACTGGGCTGGAGAGTGAGCTGGAGCAGGTGAGGAGCGGACTGGCCACCCAGCGCCAACGCCACAGCGAGCTCCTCAACACCAAGATGAGGCTGGAGCGAGAGATCTCTACTTACCGACGTCTGCTGGAGCGTGAAGAGGGCAGGTGAGGGCAAGATACAGAGAGAGGAATGGAAACATTAGAGGAAGCAGGAAGGAATCTTTGAATTTTGTGGTTTCAGTGTCAACCAGGAAGGTATTTTTACTATTTTGGTGAAAGGGTTTTCCCAGAGCATTGGAGGAACTTAATCTTCCTGAACCTGTTAAAAGCAACCCTGAGGAAAAAACTGAAGAAAAATACAATTGTACAGAAATATAGAGGATTTTTGCAAATTTGGGATCTAAAAAGCAGACTTTACACACACACACACACTCGTTCAATGACATGACTAACACAGAAACTTCCTTTGCATTAGGACAAAGTAAACAAACAGATTTATTAATCGTTTCTTTTATACACCTGTCAAACTGATAATTTCATGTGTTGGTGCTTTCAGTCTAGTCAAAGCCTACCATTTTGTCATGGATCATGTAGAATCAGTCTGCATAGAAACTTAAAATCCACAATAATTGCAGGTTGAGACATACTTGGGCTGTAGAGTACGGCAAAAAGTGACATGTTACAACAGGTATTGGAAATTCCAATAATTGTATATGTAGGCAAAGCACAAAGGATAAATATAGTAAAGGTGACTAACTTTCTTCCACTGTTTCATTGGCTAAACATCCAGCTTTAAGTAGACAATATGATAGAATCCAGACAGTCTGCTGTCTTTACTCATTACCTGCCTGTTGACGTTGTTTTACTAGGGAATATTTCATCCTATTGGCATGCCTTTTAATTATCTTCACAGGTGTTCTGGATCTCACACTGAGCTCCTTTGCATTTTAACACATTTGCTGCATCAACCACGTGATTGTCATGTTATAGGTTGAGGAAGGTACAGCTATTTGTTTTTATGACCCTCGTAGAGATCACAGACAGATTGGAGTGCTGCCATTGGTTCTCTCATATCTTTGGCAGATGCTTTTCATTCAGAATAGGACTTTGACTGATGTCATTGATGCTGGGAGAGACAGGACGTGGCAGCATAAATCTGAATTGTTTGTTCATATTTGAGAAGGGTGGTGACTGAGTGGCTAGCAAGCGGAGGCTCAAAGGACTGTGTGACAAAAAGACCTAAGGCCATCCTCATCCAGCAAAAGCGGCTCTTTCTTACTGATGCATCTGCACACATAATACCCCAAAGGTCTGAGTTGGGTATGTCTGCAGGTCAACCAAATAAAAGGCTCAAAAGATAATACTGAAAGGTCAGTGCACAATACTTTTATATTATTTTAACCATCCAAGCTGTGCAAAGAGAGTCTGTGTGTATTTGTCGGGGGGGGCCTTCCTTTATGATTGGCCACCCCAGGTGCCATCACATTATCCTTACTTCTTCCACTCCACACTGGGGGGCTAAATAGGCAAAATTTTGTTGGTGGAAAAACTGACATGGTCATCTTCAAAGGGATCCCTTGACCTCTGACCTCAAGATATCGGAATGAAAATGGGTTCTTCAAGTCTCCCCTTTGCAGACATGCCCACTTTATGCTAATCCTGCAGTTTGGGGCAAAAAAAACATGCAGTTTTCTGCATGTGGTATGAATATGTTACTGCGTTCTGCATACTGGGGTTGGAATTGCATACATTGGGAATAAGAAACATACTTCCTTGCATAAGTCAGTGCCCCACTTGTGCCACCCCAGTAAAAAAAAGTCTGTGGTTGTCATCACTCTGTATGCTGCCCTCCTGCCCTCCTGCCCGCAGGTACATGGGTCGTAACGGGCAGCCAAAGAGTCTGCGGCCCTGGAGGTCGTTCGTGGAGGAGCCGAAGGAGAACGGGCTAGAGAACGGCTTCAGTGACCCTGCTGTTACTCCGGATGAACCCAAGTCTGAGCCCCTGCCTGAAATACCTTCTCTCCTGCCAGCAGACAACGGGCTAAAGAAAAGCATACTGCATAGACAGCAAAGCCTTGTGATACTCACAGGTAAGACACACACACACACACACTCTTGCTACAGTCATTGTCTTGTTATGATTTGCCATTATTTTGTTTTTTCACAGAGCCAGAGCAAGATAAAGACTTGCCGATCTCCACTGTGAAGACTCAGGAGATTCTTCAGGGCAATGTGGTGCGAGAGAGTGCAGAGGGTCACGGCACCATCGAGTAAGTATCAATCTTTTTGCCCCCCATTGCCCTGTAGTCAGCACCTTTGGCTCTGAAATGTAGGCATTTTATAGTAACAAGCATTAACAGCACCACTGTAGAGCACACTGTTCTACATTACCTGGATAAACGCCTTTTTGATTATGACACAACATAGTTTCTTACTCGCTTCATCTCCCGAAGCCTTCACACCTCTCAGGCTTTGACTCAGTGAGGTTTTCTTTCTTTTTCATTGGTTTTCATTGACTCATTAGTTTGTAATGAGGCAATCATCCATGTTCTCCCCACCCCGGCGACGTCTGTTCCCCCAGACAAGATGTACAAACTCTCAAAAGAATTACCTTTACACGTCAAACAAGTTACAGGGCATAAAACTTTGAGTTGTCTGCACAGGTTCCCATGAGTAATTCATCACAACACTGCATGGGAATTTTCCTCCTTTAATGGCTTGTGTTTGATGTGGAGATCTCTGCCTGGTTTGGAGCCTTCAGGGCGTGGCACCTGTTATTGTTGGACCAGACATGGGTTGAATGCTTTGTTCATGCTTCAGGTGTTACCAGCCGCAAAAAGCAACACACACACACACACACACACACACACACACACACATACATGCATGGTTGATGTCCACAGAGAGCTACACTCAAGCCCACTCACTCTACTGTATCTCGTAGCTGTGATCACACAGTATAAGTAACTCACTTGATTCATTCATTCATTAGCCAGCCCACTGAATTTATTTTACCTAAATGTTCCTTGAATGCTTCCGGCATAATTTCACTGACAAGAAGCATTATCTTGTTTAAAACAAGTTAAACGGTTCTTGATGCTTTCAAACTAATTCATTTGGTCTACTACTTAAGTAACAGTCAGTCTCAAAAATTGTAAAGCACTTTGGGTAATATATATAAATGCAGTGCATTTCATTACACAACAAAATTTATATTTTTAATTCTTAAATTTAGATTTGATTGTTTTTGTTCACACTCACTCCTCTCATCAACCTTGTTTCCCGTCGCTGCAGGCAGCTATTCTAATAAACAGATATTTCCTTTAGGTGGAGATGAACAACAGAGCTAAACGATGTTATTGGACTTACATTCAGCCAGAATCATGGCTCCAAACAAATACTAATGTGTTTTCTGGATACGTAAACAGGCAACTGTTTGCTAACAAGCTTACCATATAAACTTGCCATGATCATCTATTAGTCTGTTAGGTTACACACTTGCATATACAGTGCTTGTCTCCTCTGCAGAGACAGGGTCTCTATTTCAAATTTAGTTAGTTGATACGGCAAAGATCCCAGCTCCTGATCTTCACTGAGTCTATTTAGTGCCAGACTGGTTGCATGTTATTACAAACTGTTCATTCTGTTATATAGCTCTTATACCAGGTCACATCCCAGGCAATTAAAATGCTCTCCTTTGCTGCCCCCTGCTGTTACCATGCAACCAGGTGTATCATGCATAAATGAATGAATGACATTTTTTTCTCTTTTTTTGCTATACAGTACCATTGAAATGGTCCATCCCACATGGGATTACATGGCAATAATACTATAAAGGAATAAATAGATTTCTGACAAAGGAAAGACAAAAGAGTGCTGCACACCACACTCCTGAACGAAAGAAACCATGTTTGAGACAATTAAAACATAAAACACCTATTCATAATATTTTTCTTAGTGTCCATGCACCTACCAAATAATCTGATAACACATACTGTTGTATGACATTTATCATGTGTCATCATCATCTCTTGTTGCCACTACTTCTAACCTCATTCCTCCCAGGACTGAGAAGATTGACAAGGTGATAAAGCAGTGGGAAGGCTCCTTCTTCAGAGGGAATCCCAAGCTGCGGAAGAAGTCTGTGTCGCTGCGTTTCGACCTGCACATGGCAGCAGCAGATGAGGGGTGTGCCCAGACTAAACAGGACAGCCTCCCCGACGTGGAGGTGCGCCTCATCATGAAGAGATCTCGCAGCATCCCGACTATCACACAGTGACTCTGTCACTGGTTCGCTAGAGTCAGCACTGGTGTGTAGCTGTTGGTGGTAACACACTGGTGATGTTGAAGTTACAGAAATAACATCTGGGATATTGTCATCCACTACCATCATGCTAAATATGAATTTCAAATTACAACAATAATTATACTTTGCATCACAACTGATGACTGAAACTGAGATTTCGGTCAACAAACCTGACTCTGGCAAGATAAGAATTACCCATCAGGCTTTTGTGCTATCGGGGACATTTTTATAGTGCTGGAAAACCACATCAAATACATCAGACCTTCATTACAGAGGATGAAAATTTAATATGTTACCATCTTCATCATCATTCTAGATGAAGAAAACGTGTCTCTCAAAGCTGTCATTAGTGCAGTATGAGGTCACTGGACAAAGGAGATTATATTGACCATATGACTGCTTAACTACAGCATTTCATTCTGATTAACACTTGGTACAGGAGGCTGAGTGCACAGGTAGATGGAGGTAAATGAAGCTGTGGTTTCATATTTTTTCTTTAAGGGACTGTACATAAATTATTAGGGCCGGGGGGGGCCTAATAGTTAGCACTTAATTTGTTACTATTCAACTCTGAGCATCGCAACAGAAAGCAGAACTACAGTAAAGTTAAATGTATATAAAAAAAGCAAAAAGTATATGTGCCATATAAAGATTGACTATACTGAATATATTCTGAATATTCAGTAAACAGGAATCATATATTTTTGGTAATTGCGAATTCCACTTGTATTGTGCAATTTGGAAAAATATTATTCATTCAACATTTAAAGGTTATATATATGAAATAGAGCACCAGCATTTCAGACCAAAGCAGTGTGACAGATATAAAATAAACTTAAAACTATGTTTGTTAGACTTTCCACAGACTTTCCACCAATCACCGACTCTGGTTTGGTCAAAACAAACTCTTAATTCACTGAGAAAATATTTGGGAAAAGGGCTCCAGCGACTGCAATGTAAGCTAACGTAAATGCACCTGTCAAAGTACATCCACAAGTTCTTGTTTTTGCCACTGACAGGCTCAGATTTGTGTTCTGTTATGTCTGACAACATTATGGAAAGGATCCCTACAGAGATAAACCTTTTGTTTAACCAGAAACAGCCGTAATATCACT